CCACTTCTTATTTCAACAGCTCTAATCAGTATCTAGGGTAAAATTAAGTAAGCAGGAAGCCATTGACCTGAGACTGTCTTCATGCTTTGAATTCCTATGAAGCAAAGTGCAACCTAACTTAGTATGTAAACAAACTGAAACTTAACTTAGGAGTTTCATTTTTATAACAAATAGCCAGGTCTTAGCCAATCACAAGCAGCCAAGGTTCAGCAACGCGCAAGCAGCCAACTGACTGGCTCATGTCTAAATCAAGCAAAACACTTAGCTGCAACAAATCAAACTATTTCTGTTCTTTACTTTCCTTTTGTGTTTATAAATACTCATTGTCCACAGTTGCAGAGCTCTCTGAACCTCTACCGGTTCTGAGCACTGCTTGATTCATGAATCATTCTTTACTCAAATAAACTGTTAAATTTAAATTGTCTAAATTGGTTTTTTTTTTTTTAAACACTAGATACCCCTCTCAGCAATAGGAAGATGATAGCCCATAGAAGTGAATATATTTTTCTTTTTTCGTCTCCACTCCATAGTATCCACAACAGGGCTCAACCTAATACTAATAATAGTAACAACAACAACAGTTAATTGTGTAGAGATAGACTGTAAGAACTCAGATTAATGTTTTATTATTCTGTGATTCTTAAAGTAAATATTTATGAGTCCATACTCATATATATAACTGACTGAATAAATAAATAGAACAATTCTCCTATCAGAAAAATTCCAATTAATAAATGTAAAAAATTGAAAATTGGGATCCAAGATGGCTGATCACTAGCAGCTCAGGATTGTAGCTCCCACTGAAAACGCAAAGAACGAGAGGACGCCACACCTTCACATGAATTCTTGTTGCTCACGCACCAGGAGATTCCCAGCGGAGGAGCCCCACGGGTCGCCAGCGCGACTCTTGTGACCGGCGAGGCAGTTTTGCCGGCGCCTCGGAGCGTCGGTTCTTGGTGCAGAGTCAGAAAGGCACCATCCATCTTAACGCCGCTGATTTGGTCGGCGCAGTGGGTTGCTCAGATTTCGGCGCTGAGAATCAATAAGTTGGACGTCCACTCAGAAACCCAATTACAAAGACGGTAATTATAAAGACCACAGATGGATAAATCTACAACGAAGGGAAGAAAACAGCCAAAAAAGGCTGAGAATACCCAAGATCAGAACGCCTCTCCCTCAGCAGGGGATCCCAGTTCCTCATCAGCAACGAAACAAGGCTTGATAGAGAACGAGTGTGTTCCAATTACAGAAGCAGGCTTCAAAACGTGGATAATAAGAAACTCCTGTGAATTAAAAGAACTTGTGCTAACACAAACTAAAGAAACTAAGAACTTTGAAAAAAGGTTAGACTAAATGTCAACAAGAAAACAAAATTTAGAGAGGAAAATAAGTGAATTGATGGAACTGAAAAACACAATACGAGAACTACGTAAAGTATGCACAAGCTTTAACAGCCGAATTGATCAAGCAGAAGAAAGGATATCAGAGGTCGAAGACCAACTCAATGAAATAAAACAAGAAGACAAGATTAGAGAAAAAAGGATAAAAAGGAACGAGCAAAGTCTCCAAGAAATATGGGACTATGTGAAAAGACCTAATCTACGCTTGATAGGTGTACCTGAATGTGACGAAGAGAATGAATCCAAGCTGGAAAATATGCTTCAGGATATTATTCAGGAAAATTTTCCCAACTTAGTAAGGCAGGTAATACAGAGAACACCACAAAGATATTCCTCAAGAAGAGCAACTCCAAGGCACATAATCATCAGATTCACCAGGGTTGAAATGAAGGAGAAAATACTAAGGGCAGCCAGAGAGAAAGGTCAGGTTACCCACAAAGGGAAGCCTATCAGACTCACAGCAGATCTCTCAGCAGAAACCCTACAAGCCAGAAGAGAGTGGGGACCAATATTCAACATCCTTAAAGAAAAGAACTTTCAACCAAGAATTTTACATCCAGCCAAACTAAGCTTCATAAGTGAAGGAAAAATAAAGTTTTTTGTGAACAAGCAAGCACTCAGAGAATTCATCACCACCAGGCCTGCTTTACAAGAGCTTCTGAAAGAACCACTACACATAGAAAGGAACAAACAGTATCAGCCTTTCTAAAAAATACCAAAAAGTAAAAAACATCAATATAATGAAGAATTTACATCAACTAATGGGCAAAATAGCCAGCTAATATTAAATGACAGTATTAAACTCACATATGTCATTATTAATTCTAAATTTAAATTGACTAAATTCCTCAATTCAAAGACAGGCAATTTGGACAAAAAACTAAAACTGTATGCTGCATCCAGACCCATCTCACATTCAAGGATACACAAAGACTCAAAACAAAGGATGGAGAGAGACTTACCAACCAACCAGAGAGCAAAAATAAATAAATAAAAAGCAGAAGTTACAATTTTTGCCTCTGATAAAATAGTATTTAAAGCAACAAAGATCAAAAGAAGCAAAGAAGGACATTATATAATGATAAAAGAATTAATGCAACAATAAGAAGAGTTAAAGGTCCTAAATATACACGCACCCAAAACAGGAATACCCAGACATACAAGACTTATAAAGAGACTTAGACTCCCACACAATAATAGTGGGAGACTTCAACATTAATATTAGACAGATCAATGAGACAGAAAATTAACAACAATATCCAGGACTTGAACTCAGATCTGGAACAAGTAAACGTAATTAACATTTATAGAACTCTCCAGTTTACACAAAATACACACTCTTATCAGTACCACATCATATCAACTTAGAAGTTTAAACGAAATGTTGGTTGGCTCCTTGTTTGTTACTCTCTTCCCTTATTTTTTTTATGTCTCCATTATTAAGGACAATTATAGGCATACCCATATTTAGACTGCATTCTAGCCCAGGCAGTAAAGCAATACCCCCATTCTCTCTCCCTCTTCCTCTTTCTCTAAAAAAAAAAAAAAAAAAAAAAAAAAGACTGACAAATTGTAGCTTACTTATGTCAGGAAACTCTTTCAGAGTTCTGGATTTGAGGAATTTCAGGTTTATTGAGGTACCTATAAAGTTCTACTTCTGTTCACATTTTAGTATCTGAATCATCTGCAACTTAGGATTCTTTGTGGGAAGGGAAAAGCTCTTTGGAACATCAACAAGCTTTTATTTGATTTAAAGTTTGATAAGAAACAAAACTCACTATAAGTGACAGTTGACCATAGTGGAGAAGGGGGCCAGAAAGAAATTGAGAAATACAGCAAAATAGGAAAGTATAAAAAATAAAAAAATAAATGTAAAAAATTAAGGAAATAGAGAACGACCATTAGAACACCACATTAACAACAGCTGCAGGCAAGATCCATTGATGAATAATAAAACTGATGGGTGAAAGTTTAGGAAGCAAACTGGATATGTGCATAGCCTCAAAGTATCTCCCCCAAAGATTTATTAGTTACCATGGCGCTGTTAACATACATCCACACCTTCTTTAATATTCTTTCCTCCAGGGAATAGACTTAATCTACTCAACCCTTACTCCCAGTGTGGGCTGCACTAAGTGACTCCCTTCCAAAAACTAGGGTTTGGATAGGGGAAAATGGTGGCTTTACAGTAGAGAAATTTGTCAATTGCTCCACCTTAACCAGGTGACCAAGGTAATGTCACCAGTGATAAGTCATGTTGATATCCTGTATCTCATCATGTCATGATTCAAGGGGAAGGGCACCTTACCTCTGTGGCACACTTCCCAAAAGTCCACAACCCTAGTCTTATTCTGAGGAAACATCAGACAAACCCAAATGAAGGGACATGCTACAAAATAGCTGATCAAAATGTAAAGGTCATGAAACACTAGAAAAGGCCAAGAATCTTTCACAGAGATGAGAAGAATAAAGAGACAGGATAACAAAATTCTGTGTGGTATGCTGGACTGGATCCTGGAACAGAAAAAGAACATTAGTCAAAAAACTGGTGAAATCTGAGTAAAATCTGTGGTTCAGTTAATAGCAATGTACCAATGTATCGGTGTTTATCATTATATCATACTAATATAAGATTTTCACATTAGGTGAAGCTGGATGAGGGGTATTCAGAAACCTTGTACTATCATTACAAGTCTTTTGTAAATCTAAAATATTTCCAAATATAAAAAGTTTTTTAAAATAAGTGATCTACCTTTGATCTACCTTTGAAATGATACCTTTAATTATTATGCTGAATTAGCTCTTGGACACTTTAAAATTATGGTTATTGGAGACAAACAAAAATATAGCTGGGTTTGGTGGCTCATGCCTGTAATCTAAGCACTTTGGGAGGCCAAGGTGGGAGGATTACTCGAGCCCAGGAATGCAAGACCAGCCTGGGAAGCATGGTGAAACGCTGTCTCTGCAAAAAATACAAAAATTAGCTGGTTGTGGTGGCATGAACCTACCTGCTACTCAGGAAGCTGAGGTGGGAGAACTGCTTAAGCTTGGGGAGCAGAGGTTGCAGTAAACCAAAATTGCACCACTGCACTTCAGTCTCGGCGACAGAGTAAGATCCTGTCTCAAAAACAAAACAACAACAACAACAACAACAACAAAAAAAAAAAAAAAAAAAAAAAAAAAAAAAAAACGTAAAAAGAAGAGCATGGTAGCTCACATCTGTAATACCAGCACTTTGGAAGGCCAAGGTGGTCGGACTAGCCTCTAGCCTGGCCAACTACTGAAGGCACAAAAATAATTAGCCAGGCGTGGTGTTGGGGACCTGTATATTAGCTCGTCCCATGCTCAGGAATGACCAAGGCAGTGTGGAGGTTAAACGCACGATGGAGTTGGTTAGAAAAAATTACCCCTCGTAATTTTCTCACTGTTAAAACTTATGCAAAAGCGGTTGCAGCGCCCCTGGTCCACACCTGCGCACTCCCCAAGGGGTCCCCACACACCCGCAGGGTCCCCAACCACCCCGCCCCCAGGCTGAGGGCCGTCCTGGCTGAGGGCTGTAGGCTGGCCCCGCCCCGCGCGCCAGGGTAGCGACTTTCTCTCCGAGGCTGCGCACTAAGGTGGTGGGCGGTCCGGGGCAGGCCGGGAACCAGGGTGTCTCCGCCGAGCTCCGAGGAAAGGAGTTCCTGCAACAGCCGCTGTTCCCGAGCCTACGACATGGGACCCGTGCCGCGCACCCTGGAGCTCTTCTACGACGTGCTGTCCCCCTACTCCTGGCTGGGCTTCGAGGTGACGCTGGGGGAGCCGCCTCCGGGGGGGCCTGGGGCGTGAGGGCGGAGGGAAGGGTGAGCGCAGGGCACAGGGACAGAGGTCTCGTGAAACTCCTGGCACTGCCCACGGGGTTAGGGCAAGCAGGGAGAGCTCCAGGGCTGAAGATCAGTTTGTTCTTTGAAACAGGATAGAGTCGGTGGCTCAAAGCCGAGCCTTTACATCCCGACTGCAGTTTCCCACAGTGGTGGAACGAGGGGCGGCTCCAAACGTTCAGGGAGAAATCCAGGGCACGGCCACCTCTTGGCCCAATGATGGCAGTTTTGGGGGAAACTGGCCACAGGAGCAAAAATCCTGGAATAGATTTCTAGCAGTGGGGGGAGTTTTGCCATTTCAAACCAAACAATGTAGGGTGTCCGAAAAACCCCTGCTCTGCACTTAGCGCCCCCCTTCCCTTTCCATCTGCCTTTCACTTTTCCATCTGCACACTGGCTCTTCTTCTTGACCTCTGCCCGCAGATCCTGTGCCGGTATCAGAACATCTGGAACATCAACCTGCAGTTGCGGCCCAGCTTCCTAGGAGGGATCATCAAAGACAGTGGTAGAAAGGGAGGGTAGGGGCAAGGGTGATTTCAGTGGCCCAGGAGAGCCGACCACAGCAGGTCCTTATACTGGTACTGGCAGCTAGAAAGCTGCCTCTAGCTGCCCCCTGCAGTGATGGCTCACTCCTGTAATCCCAGCACTTTGGGAGGCAGAGGTGGGTGGATGACGAGGTCACAAGGTCAAGACCAGTCTGGCCAAGATGGTAAAACCCATCTCTAGTAAAAATACAAAAATTAGCCGCTACGGTGGCAGGCGCCTGTATTCCCAGCTACTAGGGAGGCTGAGGCAGGAGAATTGCTTGAACCTGGGTGACGGAGGTTGCTGTGAGCTGAGATCACGCCACTGCACTCCAGCCTCTGTCAAAAAAATAAAGGCAAGGGAAGGCAAGGGAGGGCAGGGCAGGGCAAGGCAAGGTGGAGAGGGGATGGGAGAAGAGGGGAGGGGGGCGGAGGAGGAATGAAAAGAAAGCAAGCAAGCTGCCCTCTGCCCAAAACCCAGGTCGGGGTCCCCAAACCTGGGACCCTTAGGTCTTTTCTCACTTCGGGTGCCCAACCTTCCCCTGCCAGAAAACAAGCCTCCAGCTCTGGTTCCCCGCAAAGGACAATACATGGCAAATGACATAAAGCTCCTGAGACAGCATGTCCAGGTTCCCATCCAGTTCCCTAAGGACTTCTTCTCTGTGGTTCTTGAAAAAGGTAAAGAGAATGGGGTGCAGACAGGGTATCCAGTGAAGAGCAGAGAAGTCAGAGATTGAGGGGCTAGGATGGAGGGGCTGGGGGAGACTGAAGTGAGTGAAGCCTGCCTTGGGAAACCTCAGGATCAGCATTGAGGAAGCTGAAGGTTGCCAGGCGTGAAAGGGAGGGAGAGCAGGCAAATAGGTCATGAGAAACTTGGGTGAGAGGCTGAGGGCAGAGGAGTTCTGGGGGACGTCAGAAGCAAGGATGAGCTAGTTCTCCACCAGGAAAGCAGCAAGAGGAACCCTGTTTCTGAGTGCCTTTGCCCCACAGGAAGTTTGTCTGCCATGCGTTTCCTCACCGCTGTGAACCTGGAGCATCCAGAGATGCTGCAGAATGTGTCCCGGGAGCTGTGGATGCGCATCTGGTCACGGGTGAGTGCAGGGCTCTCGAAATCCTCTGGGAGGGCCTTGGATGACTTTCTGACCTTCCCCAGGGACGTTTTCAAGGTCACAATCCTCCCCTCCCCTGCAAGATCTCCTGTCCCCCAATCACACCCCTCTCCCAGCACCACCTTCCTGCTGAGTGTTCTCTTTTTTCCAGGATGAAGACATCACCCAGCCCCAGAGCATCCTGGCCGTGAGTGTCCTGGCTCCACCCCAACCTCACTCACAAAGAATCTGAAAACAGTTGGCATTTGGGGGTAAAGAAGACAACAGGTCTCTTATTGTATGGAAAGGTTATAATTACTAGGTAATAAAGGATGTCTGTAATTCAGGGGACAAATTACTAAAAAGTTGGAACTAAGGATTCTCAAAAAGATATCTCAAGGTTGAAAGGGGAAGTGCAAAAGGAACAATATGTGGAGAGAATTTATTTGCTGAAAGATGTCAGTGAGAGAAAGATGCTCAGTGTTGGAACCCCTGGAAAGGGAGGGATAAAGTGTTCCCAAGTCTCCACAGACTCCAACACAAACCTCACCAACACATCCAGAATGGAAAGCAGAAGACTTTTTCAAAGAGGCTTTAACAAGACAAAATGAGATAACTGACTAATGCCAGGTTTATATAGAAGTTTGAGTGAGAACAAATGGAAATCATGCAAAACATTGACCAGTGAGCCATAGATGGGGGTATAAAAGTAAGTTTGTCTTCAGGATTAAATTAGGAAATTCAAAACAGTATTTTTCCTCCAGTTTACAAAAAAAATGTTGAGACCCATTCAAATTTAATACATAAAGTGGCAAATCACACCAAGTTAAATGTATAAAGAATGGCAAATATATCTTCTACAGTCTATATTCCTGCAAAGTAAATGAGTAATTTTTAGCTTGCTTTTCTACTTTATATTTAATAATCATTTTCCATGTAATATATTTTTTTGAGACAGGGTCTGGCTCTGTAACCCAGGCTGGAGTTCAGTGGTGTCATTGTGAGTCACTGCAACCTCCGCCTCCTGGGCTCAAGTGATCTTCCAGCCTCAGCCTCCTGAGTAGCTGGGACTACAGGCAAACACTACTATGCCCGGCTAATATTTTGTGAAGAAGGGGTTTCATCATGTTGCTCAGGCTGGTCTCGAACCCCTGAGCTCAAGAAATCTGCCTGCTGCCACCTCCCAAAGTGCTGTCATTACAGGAATGAGTCACTGTGCAGTCTCCATGCAATTTTTAACTCTTTGAAAGTATTGTTCTTTGTTTCCACAGAGATTCCACTGAGTGGACCTATTTTTGTTTTACTTAACCATTTTTCTATTGTTAAACACTTTGTGTGGGACATAATTCTCTAATTCAACCATAGTGTCTCATTAGGACAGGCTACATGATTTCATGGGTCCCACATCAGATCTAGGAGGTCAAGTTGCAGTGATTCTCAATCCTGGCTGTGCATTAAAATCACCTGGAGCAGCTTGCAGCTAACCCTTTCCCCTGGAATTGTGATGTCATTGTTTTTGCTTTTTTCATGTGTTTGTGTTTGTTTTTGTTTTTTGAGACAGTATCTTGCTTTGTCACTCAGGCTGGGGTGCAGTGGCATGATTATGGCTCACTGCAGACACAACCTCTTGGGCTCCAGTGATTTCCCATCTCAACCTAATAAGTAGTTGGGACTTCAAGCATGTGCCACCATGCCTATTTTTTAAAAATTTTCTTTTTGTAGAGATGGGGGTTTCACTATGTTGCCCAGGCCGGTCTCAAACTCCTGGGCTCAAGCAGTCTTCTGCCTCAGTCTCCCAAAGTGCTGGAATTACAGGCATGAGCCACAGTGCTTGGCTCTAGTTTTCAGGGATAACCTCATGTGGAGATTTTTTAAGGTTCCCAAGAGTTTCAAATGGCCAGTCAAAGTTAAAAACCACTGATCCCAAACTATACCAACAAACCCCAGACTAAAGCCTTTATCTTGATCTTAAAGCCAGGTAGGTGGCTGTAGCCATGTGCCTTGTTAAAAAGTCCTCAGGAAATTCCACTGGAATTAGAGCCTACCTCTTGATTCAAAAAAGCATGAGATATTCAGAAATTCTGGGAAGTAGGAAGGGAAGCACCCTGGACTTGAATTCTAGAGACCTGGATTCTAGTGTTGGCTCTGCCACCAACATGCTTGGTAACTCTGAGCAAGTAATGTATCACTTCTGGATTTAGACTCTTTGTGAAATAAAGAGGTCTATCTAGCTGGTCTCTAAGATGTCCCCTGGTGTTAATTTCTGTAACTGACTCTGTGCCATCTACTTTTTCCACCCATCTCGAGATTTGGGAGAAAGGAAACAGTTCCTCTTGGCAAAGACAGATCTCCACTTGGGGGTGAGGGTAAGGGCATTGCCAGGAAAATTGGGGGGCAGAAAATAAAAAGACCAGAGTTTTCCTCTGAGATGAGATCCCCATCCAATACCATGCAGCTACAGCTGTATTCCCTACTACATTCCCTTAGGCTGCTGAGAAGGCTGGTATGTCTGCAGAACAAGCCCAGGGGCTTCTGGAAAAGAGCTCAACATCAAAGGTGAAGAACCAGCTCAAGGAGACCACTGAGGCAGCCTGCAGATATGGGGTGAGCTGCTCTTTTTGTGTGTTCCGAGCCCCCATCCTGAAGATGGAGACTGAGAATCTCTAGGTGTGAGTCCCCATGCTCCTGTCCAAAAGCCCCCTTTCCAAGTGTTCTCTTCAGTACTCTTATTAAACAACCCTCATCTTCTCCCTTCCTTTCCCTGAGCCCAAGGAAAGAAGGGAAGAAGATGCATACTGACAGAAAAGATGGCATGTTAGAAACAGGAAGGCACCTGGGGCCACAGAGCCTCTTACACCTCTTGGCTTCTGTGAACTCAGAAAAATACTTGCTTGCCGGGCGCGGTGGCTCAAGCCTGTAATCCCAGCACTTTGGGAGGCCGACACGGGTGGATCACAAGGTCGAGAGATCGAGACCATCCTGGTCAACATGGTGAAACCCCGTCTCTACTAAAAGTGCAAAAAATTAGCTGGGCATGGTGGCACGTGCCTGTAATCCCAGCTACTCAGGAGGCTGAGGCAGGAGAATTGCCTGAGCCCAGGAGGCGGAGGTTGCGGTGAGCCGAGATCGCGCCATTGCACTCCAGCCTGGGAACAAGGGCGAAACTCCGTCTCAAAAAAAAAAAAAATACTTGCTTGAAGCCTTCAACCCCAGACTGATACTGGCTCCTTTGCCTTCCTCCCTGCACTGTAACTGCTTTCTCCAGGCCTTTGGGCTTCCCATCACTGTGGCCCATGTGGATGGCCAAACTCACATGATGTTTGGCTCTGACCGAATGGAGCTGCTGGCGTACCTGCTGGGTAAGTTAAAGATTCAACACTGAGCTACCTTTGACCCCAGCTCCACCCCTATTCTATCAGTTGACGAGAAGAAAGAGCTCAGAGCAAAAAATATTCTTGGTACTTCCAGTAACAAAGCCTTATGCAGTTAGTGCTATTCTAGGTTAAATGGGGAGGGGCTGTCTTCACCCCCATAGGAGAGAAGGAAGCCTTCTATACCTCGAAGCCACACAAGGCTCTTTCTAGAAAACCCCTGGGACCTTGTAGGGCCAACTTCTGCTACCAACACACCTAAGAACAGTATGCAGAGTCTGATTTTCTTCATCCAGGAGAGAAGTGGATGGGCCCTGTGCCTCAAGCTGTGAATGCCAGACTTTAAGATTGCCCGGAGGAAGCAAATTCTTGGTATAAAACAGCTGACAATCTGCTTAACCCCCGGCTCCACCATAAGGCACTGGGACTTAAATTTCTCTATCTGATACAGGTATTTTCTGTGGCCCTGGGGGCTGTCTCTCTTCCCCATACCCACAAGGATGCCAGGAAGGGGTCCACCATTAGCCATGCGGCAACCTGTACTTCTATGATTCACAAGTGCCTTTCGGAGAGCCACAGTTCTGCTTTCCCACAAAATAAATCCAATGCCATCAGGCAAAACCTTTCTCGGTCTCTATCTGTTCTGGTGGTGTTGGTGTGTTCGTTCCTGGGGTCATATCTTACCCACTCTAGGAGTAGCTGAAGGAGACCTCTTTCTGTACTTCCAGCCAGACCAGCTATCCAGTCCACCTTGTGCAGCTTGTGTGGTAGAAGAAGTGAGAATAGTCCCCTGTTCTCTCACACAGAAACTCCCCAGGTCTCTCTGTCAGCAACAGAAAACCAAGCAAGATGGACTTTGCAACTAACCAGTTTGGGATTTACTGTCTTCTGACCCGGCACAGTGACTGAGATGGGGCTGGGATCAGAAGCCCAGTGGGAGTGAACAGCAGAGGGAACCAGTCTGGTTGAGCTTGTGCCCAAATACTTAAACGTGGTCCAGCCACACCCATCGAGCCAGAGCAAGACAGTACAGGGAAACTGGCTGGAGTTGCTGGGATTTGGAAAAGTTGCACACCCTTTCATAGCTACCTCCCTTAACCCTCAGTGCAGATCTTAAGAAAACTCTAAGGCTTCTCTTCCTGACCTAGTATAATCCCTGTTCCCTACTACGTATGTATAACTTTTCCATTCTCCCAGTAATTGACCCAAAGTCCCTGCCTCTAGCTTTGCCCACTGTGCAATGATCAGAATTCCCTGTTTTAATAATATTTTGACTTCTTTGAGAATACTCTGTATTTGGAAGCTGAAATCTCACTTGGATCCGTTGTTGGGAACTAGGTACAGAGCCTTAGATAGTTTCAGGAGCAATGCCACCTTCCCTTCCATCCCTCCCTCTGGCTCTTCGGATAGTCCATTTTCCCCTTTTATCTCCCATTACTTTCTGTCTTCCTCTCTCACCTTTTCCATGTCTCTAGCATCTTCCAAGATTTAAAATCATCTTTACCCAGCTTATCTATGAAGTAATGGCAAAAGAACATCTCCAGATTAAGCACTCCTTTTCTTCAAAGGAGCTTTGTGGTATGTACAACTAGTATAAAACAAAAATATGGGAAGATGTCCAATCTTAAAAATCATAAGGGCAAATTAAGACAAAACAAAGCTGCCTAGAGCAGGGTGGAGACAGTTTTATGAATAAAAATGCTTGGCTCAGTACTACTTGTTGATATCAAAAACTGTGAACAATGTAAGCATCTATCAGCAGGAGAATACTTTAATAAATCATGGCACATTCAGAAGATAACATTTTATAGCCATCAAAAATTGTATTTGTGGCTGGGCGCAGTGGCTCATGCCTGTAATCCCAATACTTTGGGAGGCCAAGTTGGGCAGATCACCTGAGGTCAGGAGTTTGAGACCAGCCTGACCAACATGGTGAAACCCCGTCTCTACTAAAAATACAAAAATTACCCAGGCATGGTGTCACACGCTTATAATCCCAGCTACTCAGGAGGCGGATGCTGGAGAATCACTTGAACCCAGGAGGCAGAGGTTGCACTGGGCCAAGGTCATGCCACTGCACTCCAGTCTAGGCAACAGAGCGAGACTCTGTCTCAGGAAAAAAAACAACAACAACAACAACAAAAACTGTATTTGTGAAGAATTGTTAAGAACACTGGAAATTCTTAGGATATAATATTGATTGGAAAAACATGAAACTATATAGTATGATCTCACTATATCTTGATGTATAAAAATATAAAACAGGACATTATTAATTCTGAGATAAAATATATAAAAATCTTTCCATTTTATTTGTATATCTTAAATTGTTTCTTTTTTTAAATAATCACATTCTGATATATAAAATAATAAAAATGAAAAATAAAAAACTGTGTGGATTCACATTGCAGTACAACTGCACATCTTGCCCATTGATTTCCAAATGTATTAGCTGCTTAATTTAATCCTGAATCTTCCCAGGCTTAAGTGGAATAATGTTTTATTGTAGAAGCATATTTCCTGGTGCTACCCAGTCATTATTTGAAGACTTTATAATTCTATTTTCTGAAGCCAGTGGCTGACTTTAATCTTCTCTGAAGGAACTAGACAATTTCTAGACTAATTCTTACACTCATGATCCAGATTGTAATTTCTGAACAACTTCTTCCAAATGGAATCAAAACAAGAAAGGGGAAAGCCTCTCAAAACAACTGTATGTTAATAACGGAACACTCTTCTTCTAATCCAAAGTTTTCATAGCTTTTCTTAGTTTCTTGCTGTCTTCCCTTCTGCTCTATAATTGTAATGTAATATGAAATTTGCAATTGTGCCAATACTCAGATTCAATACTGAACCACTTTCTTGCATTGTAATTCAAATTCCAAGCTTAACAACTAGCTTTATGTTTCCAAAACAATCTTTCTTATTATATATGTATTTTCTTTTCTTTTTTTTTTTTTTTTTTTTTTTTTGAGACAGAGTTTCGCTCTTGTTACCCAGCCTGGAGTGCAATGGCGCAATCTCGGCTCACCGCAACCTCCGCCTCCTGGGTTCAGGCAATTCTCCTGCCTCAGCCTCCCGAGTAGCTGGGATTACAGGCATGCACCACCATGCCCAGCTAATTTTTTGTATTTTTAGTAGAGACGGGGTTTCACCATGTTGACCAGGATGGTCTCGATCTCTTGACCTCATGATCCACCCACCTCGGCCTCCCAAAGTGCTGGGATTACAGGCTTGAGCCACCGCGCCGGGCCATATATGTATTTTCTTAGGTGAAGTTTCCAGAAGTGTTTTTTTTACAGAGCCACAAACACAGTAATTCAAAAAAATAATGCATGCATGTGGTAAAAACAGTAAAAGCAAGACATCAAGTAAAAAGTGAAGACTCCTCCCTTTCTCATTCCCATTCCTAATTTTTTATATATCCTTTTTGTAAGATATAATGTAGAGAGAGTCCATATGCCCTTCACATACTTTCCCCAGTGGTAACATCTTACATAACTGTAGGACAATAATACAGTCAGAAAACTGACATTGATACAATACAGCCACCTTATTCAGATTTCATCAGTTTAACACATGATCATTGTGTGTCTGTATTGAGTTCTATATAATTTTCTCACATGCAGGCTGATGACCACCACCACAGTCAAGATACGAAATTTTTTTTTTTTTTTTTTTTTTTGAGACAGAGTCTTGCTTTGTCGCCAGGCGCCACGCTGGAGTGCAGTGGCACAATATCGGCTCACTGCAACCTCTGCCTCCCGGGATCAAGCAATTCTCCTGCCTCAGCCTCCCTAGTAGCTGGGACTACAGGCGCATGCCACCACACCCAGCTAATTTTTGTATTTTTAGTAGAGACAGGGTTTCACCATGTTAGCCAGGATGGTCTCGATCTCTTGACCTGGTGATCCGCCCGCCTCGGCCTCCCAAAATGCTGGGATTACAGGCTTGAGCCACCGTGCCCAGCCTGAAACATTTTCAGCATAAAGATTTCTCATGCTACTCTTTTACAGCCACAGCCACCTCCCTCCCTCCCCATACTTCCCTAACCCCTGGCAATCACTAATCTGTTCTTTATATCTTATCATTTCAATAATGCTATATAAATAGAATCAGATTTTACTGTTTTCATTTGAGATCTATTCAAGGTTTTGAAATATATCAAGAGTTTATTCCTTTTTATTGCTGAAAAGTATTAATATTCTATAGTGTGGATGAAACATAGTATGTTTAAACATTCACCTGTTGAAGGACACTTCGATTGTTTCCAGTTTGAGGTTCTTCCAAATAAAGCTACTTTGTGCGGATTTTTATTTTTATTTTCATTTCTCTGGGTAAATGCTCAGGAGCACAACCACTGGATCCTATGGTAAGTGCATGTTTAGATTTTTAAGAAACTGTCAAGGCTGGGTGCATGGTGGCTCCCACCTGTGATCCCAGCACTTTGGGAGGCCAAGGGACAATGATGGCTTGAGTCCAGGAGCAAGACCAGACTGGGTAACATGGTGAAACTCCATCTCCAAAAAATACCCCCCCAAAAAATAATTGCCAGGCACAGTGATGTGTGTTCCTGCAGTCCCAGCTAATTGGGAGGCTAATGTGGGAGGATCACTTGAGGCTGTGAGGTGGAGGCTGTATTGAGCTATGATCACACCACCGCACTCCAGCTTAGATGACAGAGCCAGACCCTGTCTCTGGAAAAAAAAAAAAAAAAGAAGGAAACTGCCTTACTGTTTTCCAGAGTGGCTAATTTCACTTTTCCACCAGCAGTGCATGAGTGATCCAGTTTGCCCACAGCCTCACCAGCATTTAGTATTACTACTATTTTTTACTTTAATCATTCTGATAGGCGGGTAGTGATACCTCATTTTGATTTTAATTTGCATCTCCCCAATGAATAATGAACATCTTTTCATGTGTAATTTACCATCTGTACATGCTTGTCAGTAAAATATCTATTCATGTCTTTGCCCACTTTCTAATTAGACTCATTTGAAAATTTCTCATATTCATAACAATAGATTTTAAAGGAATTTACAAACTGTAAGAATACATTTTTTTAGACAATAGGGAAAATGATATGGAGTGAATATTAGGTGATGTTAAAGAATTAATGTTAATTTCATATGTGATAATAGCTGAGTGGCTGCGCACACAAAAAAGTTTTCATTGGTTGTAATTCATTTTGAAATATTTAGAATAGGGTCAGGTGCAGTCGTTCATGCCTATAATCCCAGCACTTTGGAAGGCCGATGGGGGCAGATCACAAGGTCACGAGATCCTCAACATGGTGAAACCCCATCTCTACTAAAAATATAAAAATTAGCCCGGCATGGTGGTGCACACCTGTAATCTCAGCTACTCAGGAGGCTGAGGCAGAAGAATCGCTTGAACCCAGGAGGAAATAAAATAAGACAAATACCACATGATCTCACTTACATGTGAACTCTAAAAAAGTTGAACTTAACAGAAGTAGAGAGTACAACAGTTATTACCAGAGGCTGGAGATAGGAGATGGGCACTGGGGAGACGCTGACCGAAGGGTACAAAGTTTCAGTTAGGAGGAATAAGTTCTTAGTATATACTGTGTAGTATGGTGACCATGATTAATAATCATGTACT